AGCTGAACGGTTAAATCATAAAAGTAACAAAATTCAAGAAATTACATACAATGTATCTTGTGAGTCGACAAGATTAATAATTGGAATTAAAAAATCAATACGTAATGAAATTTTCCAATCAAAGGATTATTAGTGAAACAAAATCCTAAATTTGATCACTTGCCTTGTTTGGATTCGTGTTGAACAGCTTTCATGATCAAGCCATCGTTATGCACCACCATGATTACCGGCGAGTTTCCGAATGCTCTAGCCATCGCCGTCAGAATCTCGGCCATCAAATCCCTAAATTGTTCCGGGACCAATTTTTCGCCGAATCTCTCGAAAATCGCATTGTAGACATGATCTGTCTCTTCTCCCGACGCCACTTCAGACTCCACCGCCACCACACGGTTCAACCCTTGCCGGAGCTCCGACGGCGACAGCATCCCGTCTTTATCCAGATCTAGCATCTGAAAATAGTCGTCGGTGATGGATTCGAAGGATTCTTTGTCGGAGATTAATCCCATAAGAGTTTGGCTCGTAAACACCGTTTCGATCATTCTCAATTTCTTTCAAGATTTTTCTCCGTTTGAGGTTGAGATCGGAATCTGAAAATTTTCCTTCTTTAATGTTTGATTAAAAAGTGGTGTATATATAAAGATTCGGTAACGTAATATGTTGCTTGCATGTTTTGCCTTGGAGAATAATAAAAGTGTCCGACTTGGTTCAAATATACCCTTTTATAAATAGAGAAATTAGCACAACTGATCAAGAAAAAACATTTTAATTCAATAACTACACAATTCATTAAATTTAATGGCTATCATTTTTTCACATAATATATTTTTGGTTAGATTGTTAATTAACAATCTTGAAATATCTTGTATTAGACCGGTTATTCTACTAATTCACCCTTTTAAAAATATATTGTATTTTTGTGAATATCATTTTTGCCTCGGACAAAAGTAGATCTTATTTGCCTAAATTGTATGCCAATACATTTCTTTCCATTCAAAGAGAGATGAACTTTGATAGATGTCATAGAGGATGCCATG